GCCCGCCACAACGCCCGGCTATTTTTTTGGTTGCAGCCGTCATTGTTGTTTGGCGGGTCCAGGCTGGGGATTCGAACCCGCCACCTCAGGTGTACGTGGCTGGCGCCTTAGCCGGTTGAGCTATAGGCGCCGAGCCATGCTTGCATTTTTGTAAGATAGCCCCACACAGTATCTCTTAATGCCAGCCTGGATGTTGCTGAGCCCTTTCTAAATGTTGTTACGGGATTTTCATCTTTTGCTTCTTATGTCTATGCTGCATCTCTCTATTTGGGATTGCCAAAGAGCTAGAATCCCTTTTATTTGGATCCATATAACCTAATCATAATTGCTTTGGTGCTGTGGGGTAAGGATTTATATATGTGTCTTTACTTTTTTTAGAGATGGGGTCTTGCTATATTTCCCAGGCTGGACTTGAACTCCTGGGCTGAAATAATCCTCAGTCTTCCAGGTAGCTGGGACTATAGGTGCATGCCATCATGCCTGACTCCTTTCTTATCTGGGCTATTTATTTATTTATTTATTTTTGAGACAGAGTCTCAGGTTGTCACCCTTGGTAGAGTGCCATGGCATCATAGCTCACAACAACCTCAAACTCTTAGGCTCAAGAGACTCTCTTGCCTCAGCCTCCCACATAGCTGGGACTATAGGTGCCCACCACAACTCCTGTCTATTTTTAGAGATGGGATCTTGCTCTTGCTCAGGCAATCCACCCACCTTGGCCTCCCAGAGTGCTAGGATTACAGGCATGAGCCACCGCACCTGGCCTTTGTCTTCGTTATTTTTTATATTCTTCCCCCTTCTCTCCATAGGTCTGCACCAGCTCAGCCACCCGCTGAAGGGACAGAAGGTACTGCCCCAGGTGGGGGTCCCCCTGGTCCTCCTCCTAATACAACCAGTAACAGACGATTACAGCAAACCCAAGCACAAGTGGAAGAGGTGGGTAGATAACTGTTTCCCTGAAAGTTCCCAAATCTCCAGAGCATCCCTTAGAGTAACACAGGGCCAGACTTGTAAATTCCTGGCGGTAGTTTTCTCATGTGTCTGGTGAGAGCATATCAGCTTTGTTTCTGTGCCCCTGTCAGGTAGTGGATATCATACGTGTGAATGTGGACAAGGTCCTGGAGAGGGACCAGAAGCTATCAGAGCTGGATGACCGTGCTGATGCCTTGCAGGCGGGAGCATCACAATTTGAAAGCAGTGCTGCCAAGCTAAAGAGGAAGTATTGGTGGAAAAACTGCAAGGTGAATTTTCTTGTCCCCTCTCCCTTCTTTTGCCAGGCCTTCCCTGAGAACTGTCAGCTTCTGTTTCTTGCCTCTACTGCCGGGCACAGTGTTTGGGAGGAAATAGGACCACTCCCTTCTTGAGCTGCATTACCCTGAATTGGCCACCAGGGTAGGCTAGAGTATTCAGAACCACTAACCAGGAAGAAGTGATAGCCTGAGGAATTAGGAATGGAGCTCCATTATTTATGGAGCTTTTCTCTAAAGGAGTTGCCCACAAAAATTCTTACCTGGCACTTCTCAGACACCTCCAACATAAACACAAAGACTTCGGAATGAGCTGAACATTTCATAATGAAAACTGAACCAATTGACTGAATATCCAAAGTCTGTACCTTTATTGGAATTCTTTTTAAAGCCCCAAGGCAAAAGGAACTGAACAAAAAGGAGCCAGCTGCAGGTCCTGTGATGTTTCTGAAAAGCTCCAGATGTGGTGCTGGGGTTATGATCCTATGGGAAGCAGAAAGGTGGGGCCTCCATGGGAGGCCTGCAGGCAGGGCTCCTGAGTGATGCAGTTTCTTCCACAGTCCCAAGGATGGAGGAGGCTCTGTTCCTGCTAGAGATGTTCTGTTCCCCAAACCCAAGGGCTCATTTTTTTGTCTGTTTCCTCAGATGATGATCATGTTGGGAGCTATCTGTGCCATCATCGTGGTAGTTATTGTAAGTAAGTATCGCTGAGGTCGCTGGTGGGGTGAAGAGGTGGGAAGGTCCCGGAGTCTTCTCCCAGCCCTGCCTGCCTGCCTGCCTGCCTGGGGAGTGGGGCTGCTCTGACTGAGGTATGGAGACTGCTGCTGTGGGATCATCACGTGGTCTTGGAGGGAGGACAAGGGACTTCCTTGATGGACAAGGCATCCCCTGCAAGATGTGGGAGATGGTCCCTTCTGAGGAAGTGGGGCTGTGTTATTTGTCATTGGCTTGGGTCAGAGGGAAATGTTGGGGATGGGGCACATACAACGGAAAGACCTGAATGTCTAGTAACTTGATGTAATTTGCCCTCTTGTTTTCTCCTGTCTCTTTTTCTTCTCCATCTGGGACTTCCTGATTCCTGTGTCCAGTCTACTTTTTTACTTGAGAATGTGCCACCCCACCCTGTTCTCCATTGCCACCCGAACTCATGTCCTTCTCCCACTGTCTGCTCTCTCAGCAAACTCCCGCATCTGCCTCCCTCCATCCCAGCCCATGCTTCTCCACTGTCCAATTCTCCTTTTTGTTGCATTCATTTGCACTACGTCCCTTAACACTAGAAATGCTGCTCGTGGCACAGTCTTAAAGTTACTACCTGGAGAACAACAGCTAGTACCACCTCCCCACTGCCTTCCTATGTACTATTGAATCCCCAGAGCCCAAAAGAGAAGAGGATGGGGAGTGACTGAGGTAAAATGCCCAAGAAGCTGCCCAGACTGGGGGAGGAGAAGGTATGGTGCCCACTGTGTGCCCTAGAAAGGCCCAGCCACTGGCAGGAGACTATGAACAGCTGGGAAGATGGTGGCTCATTCAGTGCTGCCCTGGGCATGTGGAGCTTTTCTCCTAGGCAAGGCCCAGAGAGGCTCAAGGGTATAGCCCTTGTAGAAAGTAAAACCTATTTTTTGCGTTATTTCTAATCTTTTAGTCTAAGATTTTCTATGTCTTTTTGCTCTGTTCTCTGTAGGAATGGAGGACAAACATTTGTGGACTGTAAAAAGATTGGGACTCTTGTTTCCATCCTAGGAGCAGTCCCAGTCCACATTTTCTGTGCATTCTGTTTTGTTCATGAGAATACCAAATATCTAGCCAAATAATTTCATGTAGCTTTCAGTTAATTGTTGGCATACATAAAGACAGAGAATGCCTGTTAGTTATAGAGAAACCGAGGCAGGAGGCTAATTTGAAAATAACAAGCTTGTAGAAAGCCACTTTTGCCCTCTCATTAATTTGGGCCCTGATTCTTCCTTTCTGTTGATGGAGAAACTTGAAGGTGTTAGACATGAGGATCTTCCAAATAGCCTTATGAATATGGGGGGAAAAGTGAGGATCCATGGACTCCTATGGAATCCTTTCCTCTACACCATCCCCATGGCCTTGCCAAAGATAGGGGTGAGGTGAGAGGTATTTTCTGAGGATTAGGGTCCTGGATTATACCCCCCAGTTCCATCTTGGGGGGAGCATGCCAGTCTGTGATTGGTGTGCTTGTGCATTGCTGTGCTGTCACAGGACTGTCGTCTGCAGCACCTATTCTTCCTGTCGTATGTTCCCCTTCAAACCACCCCTACCCATCTGAAGTCTACTTTGTCTCCTTTGTTTCCCTCTTCTTTGCCTGGTTTGCACGTACAGACAGTGGAACCTGAGGATGGCAACTGCTCAGCTTATCTTAGGAGCCACTGCTGAGCTTCAGGATAGGCTGTTACATGGGATAAACCCAGGGGGAAGGGGAGGAGGCAGGCCAGGAACACAAGGGAGAACACCCACACCCTTTATTCTGTCCTCCAGTCCACATGCAGGAAAGGTTGAGGCCACTCTGGGCTGGGTCTTGATGGCCCCTCTCCACGCAGCAGCATTTCATTGTGCAGAACCATCCTTCCTTTTCCTTCACCCCTGTTTCCCAAACCCGCTTCGTCCTGCCCCAGGGCAGGACTGAAGAGCTGGAAGAAAGCAATCAGTGTACCCTCCCAACGGTCCCCCTCGAAGGTCTCCACTCTCCTCTGGGCTCCTCTTTGCCTAATGCAGGGGGTCACCGCTGGAGAAGAACCACCACTGTCCTCGATGTGTCCCAAGCCTGGAGCAAATCCACCCTCTTGGCCCACCCAGCCCTATCACAGGAATTACTTTCTGGGTTTCTGTCCCTCTGAGGCTTAACAGTCACAGTTGGCTTTGTCCTTTTGGGTGGTCAGTCCTTCTACTTTCTTTCTCACCCCATCTGTGTCCTCTTCTGTGTCCGTGCTATTCTCCTTTCCTCTCACCACCCTGTGCATGAGCAAATGTGCAACTAGCCCCGGGACTGTGTAGTCCAGTGAAGCCAAGCTTCCCACATCCCCTCCTTCAGTTTGCCGTGAGATGATGTGGGTTTCCACTGTGTGTCTGTCATCATCTCTTTGTCTTTTTTTCCTAACCCCAATCTCATACTTGTATGGAGTAATAACAGTTGTACTTCCACCAAAGGCATGTGGCATATTTACCAATTTCATGTATTCCAAACAAAGGCAAAGAATACAAATTCCTACTGCTAAACTGTCTTGGTTGTTCTTTGGGTTGGAGGGGAAGGGGAGCATCCTTTCTTTCTAGTAGTCTGACGATGTCGCTTTAGGTTGGCAGGGCTGGCTTATGTGTGCCATGTGACCTTCGTGACATTGAAGTTCTACGTGTCCTCAGAGGAAGTGGTCTCCAGGTTTCATGCCTGAAGCAGCCCAACTCTTGCAGGTGCTAGTGAGAGGAAGTGATGACAGGAAGTTGAGTGGGCGCCTCAGGCTGGCAGGTTCTCCCACACTTCTCTCAACTGCGACCCTTGGCTCTCCTCGCCTGGCCCAGGGTTCGTGCCCAGATGAGGCCTCCAGTGAACACCCATTTTCTCCATCATCTTTGCATTGCATACAATGTTCTTATGCTAAGTTCCACTGGATTGACCAGGCATGTTTTAGAAATGAATAAAAGGAGAACTCCCTCCCCAGTAGTTGAGGGAGTGAGGAGTTTGTTAGGTTTCCTGAAATTCCTGATTGACTCTTCAAAGGAGCAGAACCTTAATTACAGCTCAGGGTCACCCAGAGCAACTGAGAGGAAGCCCCAGAGGGCGTTTTCACACCTTCAACACTTTGCAGGTGGACCAGCTAGGCTTGGGGACAGGGCTTAGTTGGGACGTGGAAAAAGACAGGAAAGTGGAAAAGCCTGGCCTCGGGGACTTAGGCTTTTATTTAGACAGAGCCAAGAGTTTGTGAGTAGGGGCCCAACCCAACCCCTTTGCCCCACTGCCCCTCACTTGTTCTTTTCTTTTTCTTTCTTTCTTTCATTTTTTTTTTAGAGACAGAGTCTCACTTTGTCACCCTCAGTAGAGTGCCATGGCATCACACAGCTCACAGCAACCTCCAACTCCTGGGCTTAGGTGATTCTCTTGCCTCAGACTCCCAGTAGCTGGGACTATGGGTGCCTGCCACAACGCCCGGCTATTTTTTTGTTGCAGTTTGGCCAGGCCGGGTTTGAACCCACCACCCTTGGTATATGGGGCTGGCACCCTGCCCACTGAACCACAGGCACCACCCTACTTGTTCCTTTCTTGCCTTCTGGTTTTCTTTTCTTATGATTTCACCTCAATTCTGGTTCTTTGGTGTTAACCTGTCCCTGAATATTCTGCCTTCCTGTCAGCCCCTCGCCTCTTCCCGTCCCCTCCCTTGCTGCATCATCCCAGCGCACACAGTGAAGGAAGGCAGGGGTCTGAGCAGAGCCAGGGCTGGTGCCCCGTGACCTGGTACCACCCTCATGCCTTTCCCAGCTTTGCGACTTGGCTTAGGGTCCTTCTGGGAGCACGTGATTACTTTCTTTTTTATGCTGAGGCAGGAAAACAACTCCCTAGAGTGTTGGTAGACCTTGGTGAGTAGCTAGGAGAAAATAAGAAGGAACAAGGTTGATTTCATTTGGGGTAACCCCCAAGGCAGGGGACTTGGGGGGGTAGGCCAGCGGGACCTAGGAACGGCTAGACTTTAACCCTGGTCTGGGTGGGAAGCTGGGTGGACTGGCTTGATCTACAAGTGAGGTGGGTCAGGTGCCAGAGCTGAGGGCAGCCAGACTCTTACCTTGTCGTCTCTGAAGCCCCAGGAACAACAGTGCAAGAAAGAAGAGGCCGCTGGCAAAGATGACTCCCAAGGCCATTTTCTGCTCTGTAGGTGAGAGTGACGTGGGCAGAAGTCATTGTGGGTAGGTGTCATTGGCTTAGCCTTCACCCCCAGTGTCCACCCCAGGAGGTGGAGCAGAGAAGTATGTGTTTCTGAGTCTTCAGCGCAGGAGCCAGGCACACAGCAGCATTTGGACAGGGTGAACATAAAGTTTGTGTGCATTTACTATGTTAAACTATTTTTTAAATTGCACACAAACTTTGTGTCTATCCTGTATATATTCAAGGCTGTCAGATATTCATGTGTCACTCCACACAGAATTCCTACCTCTTGGCGCAGCGCCTGTAGCACAGTGGTTATGGTGCCAGCCACATATACCAAGGCTGGCAGGTTCGAACCCAGCCCGGGCCAGCTAAAACAACAATGACAACTGCAACAAAAAATAGCCAGGCATTGTGGTGGGCGCCTGTAGTCCCAGCTACTTGGGAGGATGAGGCAAGAGAATCTCTTAAGCCCAAGAGTTGGAGGTTGCTGTGAGCTGTGATGCCACAGCATTCTACCATAAAGGCAACATAGTAAGACTCTGTCTCAAAAAATAAAAATAAAAAAGAATTCCTACCTAAGACAATGTTTTTACATTGCTTTCAAGACAGATTTAGGTAGATTAGTTGTTGACAGCTAAACTGAGATTCTGTAAATAGCTGGGGAATAATGTGAACTGGGAAAAAAGCTCAGTTTGGGGGAAGCTCTAGCAAGCAACCAAATAAAGCCCAGCGCTCCTGCACATTTGCATGTCGAGATGCTGGTTCTTTCCTGCCCCTTTCCTGTTTCAGACCTTTCAACAACATTCCATGGCTTTCAGGATGAAGTTCCAGCTTAAAGGCCCATTGAGACCTATAGGGTTTAAGCCTATAGGAGGAATCAGGTTGCCTGTTTTTCATTTCTCTTTATTAATTGGTAGATAACCTTGGGGGAATTAGTTGTTTCCTGCAAGTGCCAATTCACTCATCTGGAAGATGGAAGTTGTCATGCTAGCTAATTCCAAGTCACTGCCATGCCCATGACATAGCTAAGTCATATAGCTAAGTGCTGAGCACCGTGCTTGATTCACATAAATGCTCAATAAATATAATGACCTCTGAAGCTTCAGAGCCCTTCCTGCTTTTCCCATATGCCCTTGGCTCTAGCTCTGTGCTGGACTCCTTACAGTTGCCTGAATTCTCTTTGGGCTGTTTTATATTTGGCCTCCCTACATACCATTCTTTCCATCTTGAGTGTTCCCTTCCCTCTGAGCTAGCTACCTTGGCTCACATGTCTCCTTTAGGTCATCTCCCCTGCCTACCTAGTCTTGTCTCCATCACTGGACTAAGCTCCTGGAGGGCAGGAAGGGGAATTATTTCAGCACGTTGTCTGGCACCCTGGATTCTCAGGGGATATGTGGTGGAAGCTGTAGTGGCTGCCACCTCGGGAAAGACAAAGCCGGGAACAGAGGTAGGAGTGTGAAGCTTGGGCTGTGAACAAAGCATGAGGGCAGGAGAACAAGGCCAAAGGTTCACTGGGGGCAGGACAGCCGTGAGCCCAAGTGTGGAGGTGGGGGATTGAGGACATTCCCATACCTGGTGGGCCAACCTGGGTGCTGGCCCCAAGGGGCTCCTTCAGGGAGACGTGGGTGACCTGGCAGGTGTAGGTGGCACCTGCAAAGCCAGGCTCTGCCGTCAGAGAGGAGGAGATGCTGTAGGTGCCTGCTGTGCTTTGCCTGAGGCTGGAGAATGAGGCACCAGAGACTTGGACCGGGGATCTGCCCAGCTCCTCTCGGGTCCACGTCACTGCCATGTCCAGAGGGTAGTAGCCGGCAATGTTGCAGATGAGGGTGGGTGGCAGAGCTTTGTTTGCCAAGCTCAGTCGTACTTTGGGGGAAGCTAGAGGAACAATGAGGAAGGAATAAGATTTCAAAAGATCTGCCTGGGGACAGCTGAGAAACCTCAAGCCTTCTCTTCCTGCTGAGAGTGAGGATAGATTGTGAAGGCTAAAGTTTCCTCCTCAGTAGGATACCCAATGGACTCAGGCTATCCATTAGAGGTAGGGGCTGTGTTTACTTATTGTCACTGTAAGCCAGTGGTTTTATTTTATTTTATTTTATTTTTTGGAGACAGAGCCTCAAGCTACCCCCCGGGGTAGAGTGCCATGGCATCACAGCTCACAGCAACCTCCAACTCCTGGGCTCAAGCGAGTCTCCTGCCTCAGCCTCCCAAGTAGCTGGGACTACAGGCGCCCGCCACAACGCCCGGCCATTTTTTGGTTGCAGCCATCTTTGTTGTTTGGCGGGCCCGGGCTGGGGATTCGAACCCACCACCTTAGGTGTATGTGGCTGGCACCTTAGCCGCTTGAGCCACAGGCGCCGAGCCAAGCCAGTGGTTTTAAACGCTGTCAGTGATAAAATGTTCCTCCTGATCAGAACCGCTCCCACCACCTTTCCTTGGTTTGTTACTGCTCCTGAGGAGGCTCAGGATGTGGTCCAAAAGGACCCGGGGGGGGGGGGGGTTGGAGGCAGCCATGCAGGTCAGTGGGATCCTGAGCTGGAAATGTCCTGATGGAATTAGCCTAGAGTCCAGTAGAACACCTTATCCGATGGCATAAAGGCTGTGGGAATGCAGTCTGCCTCTCAGAAAATCTTCACTGAGTTGGATCCCAGTCTGGGAAACACTCCCAATGGATATAGCCCTTCACTTCTCCCCAGGGTAACTCAGTCCTGGCCTTACCTTGGATGTTGAGTTGGATGATTTGCTGAGCTCGGTATAGAGAGGTAGTGATCTGGCAAATGTAGGCCCCCTCGTCCTTTACTCTGAGGCTGGATAGGATGAGGGAGGCATTCCCGGCTGTTTGTAGCTGCTCAGGTTCCAGTGTAGCACCCTCTCGCTCAGCCTGCCCCTGCCCCGCAGTCCAGCTGTATACCAGCTGGCCACTGCCCTTGTGCTGCAGCCTCCAGTCCACACTGATGAGGTCCAACCCTGGTGCCATGGAGAAGCCACAGTCCAGGGAGACTGTGGACTCCAACATGTAATTCAGGGATTGCGTTCGTGTTGTCACCTGGAACTCCACTGTGGAGAGAGAAAGAGGAGTGGTTTGTGGGCTGCTTCCTCCTTCTGATCACCTGATCTCTGGGCTGTGGGCACGTTGTGGGCACTATACCTGCCTCTTCTTCCTCCCCCTGGACAGTGAGGGCCTGTGAAGCTCATTTCCCATAAGTTGAAACAAGAGAAATGGGGCTCTGGAAAAGCAGCTTGGCACACATGGTGTTCTTCACCATTTGGGGGTCACTTACTCCTAGAGTAGGGGTTAAGCCCAGGATGTTGGTTTTTTGTTTTTTTTTTTTTTGAGATAGAGTTTCACTTTGTTGCCCTGGGTAGAGTGCTGTGGCATCTTAGCTCACAGTAACCTCAAATTCTTGGGCTCCAGAGATCCTCTTGCCTCAGCCTCCTGAGTAGCTGGGACTACAGGTGGCTGCCATAACACCCAGCTATTTCTACAGACAGGGGTCTCACTCTTGTTCAAGCTGGTCTTGAACTCATGAGATCTACCTGCCTGGCCCTCCCAGAGTGCTAGAATTATAGGTGTAAACCACTGCACCCAGCCTCAAACCCAGGAGTTCAAGACTACCATGGTCAATATAGTAAGACCTTGTCTCTAAAAAAAGAAAAGAATAATTATAGGGACAATTGGAGAATTTGGAATTTGAACTCTATATGTGAGAGCTTTATTGTATTGATATTCAAATATCTGAAGTTTGATGATCCATGGCATACCAAGCAGTACTGGGGAGAAATAGGAGCACTTTGCCTTGGCAGGGAGAAGTATTTTATCACTGATTTTGTTTAGAATTGCCAATATAAAGCTAGGATCTGGGCTCACACCTGTAATCCTAACACTCTGGGAGGCTGAGGTCGGTGGATTGCTTTGAGCTCAGTAATTCCAGACCAACCTGAGCAAAGGGAGACCCTGTCTCTACAAATAGAAAAACTAGCCAGGCGTTGTGGCAGGGCACACTGTAGTCAGCTACTTGGGAGGCTGAGGCAAGAGGATCACCAAGGGTGATCTCTGATCCCGAGAGTTTGAGGTTGCTGTGAGCTATGATGCCACATCACTCTACCCAGGGCACCTGTGTGAGACTGTCTCAAAAAAAAAAAAAAGAATTGCCAATGTAGGGAGATGGTAAGACTATAAAGCTGTCTTTATTATTATTAAATTCTTTACACATTGTACCCCATTATGTCTGTACCATGGGTAGACCATTCCCAACCTTAGTTTGCTTTTGACATGGTGGTTTTGTGATTATAAAGGAGAAGGTCCTTGTCCTTTTCTATAAACTAATACATGCTATACACATAGAAGCATGTGGGTCAAGAATTATGATATCTGCAACTTACTCTCAATTAGCTCAGGGAAAAATACATATATATTGAGAGAGAGAAAGAATGTGGTGAAATGATAACAATTGGTGAATATAGGTGAAGGGTAGATAGGTGTTCATTATGTTATTCTTTCACTGTTTTTTGGGTAGGTTTCAAAAATCCCAGAATAAAAATAGGGCAATACGGGTGGCGCCTATGGCTCAGTGGGGAGGGTGCCGGCCCCATATACCGAGGGTGGCAGATTCAAACCCGGCCCTAGCCAAACTGGAGCAAAAAATAGCTGGGCATTGTGGTGGGTACCTGTAGTCCCAGCTACTTGGGAGGCTGAGGCAAGAGAATCGCCTAAGCCCAAGAGCTGGAGGTTGCTGTGAGCTGG